GTCTTTGCATAGTCAATATAGAACAGGTAAACATCTTTATGATATTCTCTGCTTTCAACCAAGATCCATTGGACATCAGCAATGGTATCCCTTATCCCATGTCCTCTTCTTAATCCAGCTTGAACTTCTAGAAGTTCTCTGTCAATATATGCTTGCAGCCATTTCTGTATTACTCTAGTTAAACTTTACTCGCATAGGATATAAAATATATTGTTTGATGATTTCGGGTAGACAGGAAGAAAGTGGGATAAGTGATGTTGCATTGTGGAGATTGTAGTCAATGGCATGAATTACCATGTGCATGAATTGTTGGATGGAAAACTGATCTACTCTGTAAACCTTCACCCAATTCACTAGAAGAAGATGGAAATGTGTCCCTCTGAGCCCTCCCTCTGCAGAAGGAATCCTTCTAAAGCAGCACTGTTGCCACGGCACTCCTTAGTTCTCAGACCTTTGATTGCATCTCAGTCCTGCAGGACCAAACTCAGACTCCAAGACGCTCTGGCCTCACCTGACTTTTTTTTTTTTAATTAACTTTTCATTGTCAGTCGGGTGAAGGTGTACATAGTAGATCAGTTTTCTATTCAATAATTCAAGTGCATTTCTTGTGTGACTTTGATGGTAATCCCCACAACATAGCATCATTTCTCCCACTTCCTCCCTGTGTTGGCTGTTTCAATTCTTCCTTCTTTCCTCAGACTTCTAATCTTTGTCCTTGGGTACATGCTGCCTTTTTTTTTTTTTTTTAATCTCAAATGATTAAATATTCTAAGATATGTGTACCTCCTAGTGCTCTTTGGGGTTTTTTGGGGGGATGGAGGTTGTAACTTTTTTTTTCTTTTTTTTTTGGTAAGTTTTTATTGTGCTTTATTTACAGAGTTGACTATCAGTTTTACATTCGACAAATCATATACTTTCCCTCATTTCAATGATTGCAATCCCCTCCCTGTAACAACAGTGATCCCACTTCCTCCCTGTGATTCTTGTTTACATTCTACCCTCTTTGCCAACCCTTCTGAATTTTGTCCTCAGGTAAATGCTGCCCTTTGATCTAGAATGGTTGACCATTCCATGTGAACATACTGACCTCACTAGTGTTGTTGTCCCTCCTGTATACCTGAAAATTGATCCACAAGGGTGAGTTCAGTTCTAGACCTGAAGGGTGACTGAGGGCCAGTAAACCTGGTTTTTAATTATTATTTTGAGGTTTGTTCCTCATTTCTCCCACTCTATCCAGAACCTTCTAATGCAATCCCTTTCTGAGCAGTTGGTAGTGATAATCAGACATAATATTAGTCCATTGGACTCATTGATTCCAAGTGTCTTCAATTTTCATCACTCTTCTTTCCTCCAGACATGGAGAGATCTTTAGATGGTCATCATGAGCTTTTAAGATTCCACTCACCACTCACAAAATTAGCATGAAGAACATTGTCACTGTAGACTGTTAGGCCAGCTTGGCTTCACCCAATTCTGTTGATCCCCCTGAAGCCTTCACTAGAGAGCCTGGCTGCTGAGAATGTCTAATGAGTCCTACCAAAGCTGCTGCTGCTAAGTCCTACCCTAGGGTGTCCACTCCAGTCCTCTCCGCCTTCCACCCACCAGCTCCTGCTTTAGTCTCATACTGTTCTTAGCCTTTGGAAGACTGAATTATTTTCTGCCTTGATTTTTTTTTGTTTTTTTTTTTTAATGAAACCATGTGTTCTCAGTCATTGAGACATTTTGAACGAAATGAAAAAAAAATGTTTTTTTGAAGTAGTATCAATTTAAATACAATTTATTGTTAAGCTGTTAAGCCAGTTCCAACTCATAGTGACCCTATATAAGGTTCCAAGGGGCAACTGGTGAGTTTGAACAACCAACCTTGCACTTCAAACTGACTTTGTGATCCAGTGCTTTATCCCACAGCATCCTGCCAGGACTCTGTATCTATTCTAAGGAGCATCTGGTAGTGAGGTTGCTGGGATGAGACCCAGTTCTTCAGACTCATGCAATTATGTAAGCCCCACCAGATGTCAGCCTTCACCAAAAGGCTGGGCACTAGATGTCCCATGGGTCACAAGAGTTAAAGACTCACTACCCAGGAGACTTCACTATGACTTCTTCCTGACCTCTAAACTGTTAAACTATTGACTGCTCTCTTCTAATTATTATAATATTCTAGTAAAAGCCCTCTCATTGAACCAACTTTGGAAACATAATTTAAAGAAGGAAATCATGCGGGGGGTGGGGGGGGTGTTAGGGAAGAAACAAAAAAACATATGTCAAGCATTTTAACTTTGATATGTATGTATGTGCTTTCATTTGACAGTGTTCAGATGAGAGGACAAAGTCATTTGTTTGATTGAGTTAGCTAATGGGAATTTATCATCTGCTTTACAGAATTCATGTCCAAATGCCACTGATATAGTAGGCAGTTCAAAAACCCACCAGCCACTCTCAGAAACACAACACAGGGTCGCTATGAGTCGGAACTGACAAAACAATGACACACAACAACAACAATAGAGTGGAATTAAAACTTAGACAGCTGGAACATATTTTCAGAGCAATCTGAGTGCAGAACTATTTTAATTTTCATGTCTTCTCTAACGTTTACACTGAGCTCATCCGCAGCTTTATTTAATAGCAACCTGGTTTCAAGACTTACCTTTAAGATTTCATAGGAAATAGCAGTTTTCTTCCATACTCACATTTTGTTTATTTATGTAATATTCAATTAAATTTGTTGTCATAGTTTTTGCTGGTAGCTGCTGTCCAGCCAGCCCTCAGATCAGCACCACCCCTTTTACAATGGGATAAAGACATTGTGGTCGATATGGTTTTCATTGGCTAATTTTCAGAATGGTGTCCAGAACTTTCTTCCTAGCCTGTCATAGTCTGGAAGCTCTGCTGAAACCTGCTCAGCATCATAGCAATTTCAACAGACCTGGGCATTGTGCTTGAGGTCCACTCGCCAAGAATAGAACCTGGGTCTGCTGTGCAGACGGGGAGAAATCTACCACTGAACCACCGTGACCCTATTACCTATGTTCCAAAGTTACAATAGAAAGTTCTACCAGCAAAAGCAGGTCTGGGAGATGATACAGTCCAGTCTTAAGAAGCCTAAAGCTGAACCAGAGGGAAGAGGAGTCAAGCATCCAAGGAGACATGGAAACTACAGAAAGTGCATCATGCCGAAAAGATAGAAAATGCTGATCGACCTACTGGACCTGTTACCTGGAGGCTAGGTCCAAAGGCTTCTATTGTACCTGGCATTCTTCTTCAGCATGCCATAGATGCACATTCCTCATTTCTCCATGGCAAGACTGTAACTGCTAAACCAGGTCAGTCAAGCTATGTGTGTGTATATGGTGGATTCTCCAGAGGCATCAGTCAAGTTTACCAATGTCAGAGGAATAGCTGAACAGAGAACTCCCAGGAGCTTTGAGCTTGAACTCCTGGTCTTGTCTTCCTTTCATATGATGCTAGGAGGGGTACTTGAATTCTATATTGCCTCTGGTGATATAATTCTGATGAACCAGCCATTGAAAATCCCACTGGTTCCAATTCTGCTCTGACATGTATGACCATTGGAGTGGACTCAATGGTCACTGCTTTATATAAAGACATTAATAGCTATCCCAAAGAGCTTTTAAAGGGATTTAAAACAACAGCAATAACAACCTAGTGCCACTGAGTCTATTCCAACTCATAGTGACCCTATGTAGGCTTTCCAAGGCTGTAAGTCTTTGTGGAAACAGAGTGGCTGATGGATTTGAACCATTGGCCTTATGGTTAGCAGTCCAGTGCTTAAGCTACAGCACGACCAGAGTCCCCACTATTCTAAAGGTTTCCAAATCACACATCGATATCCCTCTTCTTCCTTCCTCCCCCAAGAGATGAAGGCTGAACAGCCGAGTGAATGGAGGCATAAATGGATGGATGTCCTTTACCCGTAGGGGTTGTTGAAGGCGATGGCATAGACCACGTTCCTGTGGCCCTCCAGTGTGTGAAGCTCCTCTCCAGAACTGGTGTCCCAGAGCTTGCATGTCCGGTCGTAGCTTCCTGTGATAAAGCTGCACAGGCAACACATGGAGGAGTAAGAACAAATGTTTGGCTTACCAAAGTCTCCACTTCCTGCCTGAAGGATGATAATTCCGTTCACTTTGCATTCTACAATCACACAAATTCCGCCTGCAGAACCTAACGTAGTAATGCTGACTTAGAAGCTTTCTAAGTTTATCTCAAACTTGAAGAAGAATCAGAATAAAATCTAATAAAATCTAGAGAGTGTAATGATATGAAATGAGTCAAGAAATATAATAAAGAGAAATGCTTCCAGCAATTGTTTTCATTTGCATAATATGTTATTATATGTGATCAATATTTATATATGATCTGAAATCATCAGGAATGTTTCCTAAGCTCCAATATAGTTCAGTAAATGGCATCACCATTCTCTCAGGGGTCAGACCACAGGACCTCAGCTTGGCATCACTCTCTAGTCCTCTCCTTTCCTCCCTTGCACATCCAACCAATCAGACCTCTTCACAAAGACCGGTTCTCACCAGCTTCCATCACCTGCCTCCAGAAACAAAACAGACTTCCAATGAGATTGGGTTCCCTCCTGACCCTTACGTATCTGTCTTCCACACAGGGATTGCTCTTACCAAGTTGCTGCTGTCTTGTGCCATGGAACTGGTTCTGACTCACAGTGATCCTGTATAGGGTTTCTGAGGATATAAATCTTTATGGGAGCAGAAAGCCTCATCATTCTCCTGAGGAGCAGCTGATGGGCTCGAACCGTTGACCTTATTGTTAGCAGTCCTGTGTATGCTACAGCACCACTGCGCTCTTATTACCATGTTGTTGTTGTTAAGCGCTTCCAAGTCGTTTCTGACTCATAGCAACCCTGTAGAGGATTTCTGAGGAACCGCTTGTGGGTTTGAACCACTGATTTTATGGTTTGCAGTTTAGTGCCTATCCCACAGCACCACACCAGGACTTCATTATCATGTTAACCTTCCTCAAATAGATTTCCAGCAATCTGGAGGAACGTTCAAACATCTGCTCATGGTCTGCAAGGTCACTACTGGGACACCTGTGCGGCCTCTCACGTAGACACCCTGACTGATCACCACATTCACTTTTCTGCTCATCTTGAAAGAGTCCAGCTGTTTCTATTAAACATGCTGGGCCTTCTACCTACTGGGTTTGCCACCAGCATCCCCAGGAAAGTAGACAATGACTGATAAACTAATAAGTGATCAGTACAGATTTGTTTTATGAATAAATTGATCCTTTGATGCAGTTTGTAACACTGTAGGATCAGCACTGGACTGTGAACCACAAGGTCAGGAGTTGAGAACCCACCAGTTGCACCTTAGAAACCCTAAGCAGGGTTGCTGTAAGTCGGAACTGACTCAATGATGCTTAGCAACAATGACAGCAGCAGTAGCCTATAGTGCTCTCTAGTATTTTAAATTAAAATGATATCTCATTCATTCTGCCAACATTCCAACAGAAAACAGATTATCATTTTTTTAAATCTCCAAAATACAAATTGTTCCAAAACTACAATGAACAGACTTTTTTTTTTTTTCAAAATAGGAAAAAAAAAATTTAAATGCACAAAAAAAAGCCAGTCTAAATGTCAAGTGGTAATGGTAAAAATGCAAAACATATTCTGGAATCTGAACTGAACTAAACCAGAGAGTAGACAAGGTAATGTGCCTTTGACTCCCTTCAAGGCATTTTCTTTCTAGTTCCTTTTCCTATGACCTAAGTTTACAAGTGCACACAGATGCCCACAAAACCTGTCTCTATCCAGTCAATTCTGACTCATAGTGACCACATAGGACATAGTAGAACTGTTGCACAGAGCTCCTAAGGTCATCAGTCTACACCAAAGCATACAGCCACAGTTCTCTCCCACAGAGCAGCTGGTGAGTTTGAACCATCAACCTCTCAGTTAGCAGCTGAGTACTTAACCACTGTGCCACCAGCACTCCTTTATGCACATATACCAAAACCCCAAATCCACCTCCATCAAGAATCAGCTCATAAAGACCTTGTGGTTCTCACAGTCCAGTGCTGACTCTACAGCGCCACAAACCACACTAAAGGATCAGTTTCTTTCTAAAACAGATATTTATGAACACTTATTAGTGTGCCAAGGAGCTCTGGTAGCGTAGTGGTTATGAATCGGGCTGTGAACCACAAGGTCAGCAGTTCAAAACTACCAGCTGTTCCGCAGGAGAAAGATGAGGCTTTCTGCTCCCATAAAGATTTACAGCCTCAGAAACCCTGTACAGGGTCACTGTGAGTCAGAACCAATTCCACGGCACATAACAACAATGACATTAGTGCGCCAGTCATTGTACTTGTCTCTGGGCATGCTGGTGGCAAACCCAATGGGTAGAAAATCTAAATAGGGTTTCCAAGACTATATCTTTATGGACAGCTTTATCTTTCTCCCACAGACTGGCTGGTGGGTTTGAACTGCTAACCTTGTAGCTAGCAGCCCAATGCCTAACCCACTGCGCCACCAGGTGCTCCTTCTTTTGTGTCTAGATCAAGATGACACTTCTACTTGGTCTTTGCTACGTTTCCTACGTAGCATCTTAGGGGCCACACTGCTTATACCATCCTTACAGCAGGTCTGCAAGAGTCCTGGTGAGGTGCTGCAGGATAATGCACTGAACCGTAAGGTCAGTTTGAACTGCAAGGTCTGCGCTGGCACCTAACAACAACAACGACAGTACTGATAAGTAGATTCAGAGCAGGCATGCCCCAGGCTGCCCCAGTCTGATGCTCCTAATGCCAAGCCACATGACCACTGCTTCCCCCATACACCCCAGAAGTCACAGGATGCATCCCTGTCCCAGCTTACACAGAAGCTGTACTATCTGCTGAGATCTTCAGATGCCTTCAACCCAGAGGTTCCCCCAAGACACCCTTACTAACTAGATAGAAAGCTCAGATCTGGGATTCTGGAGGAGAAGCCTATGTTTCTCCTTGATATTCAGTAAGGTGCAAAAATGAGGAATATGAACAGATTATATACTTAACTAACTGGTACCTTTGACAAAGAAAGCTATAGAAATTGTCCTATCCCTTGGTTGTGAAACTTAGAGAGAAAAAGATAATCTTACCATGAGCCGGACTTGTTAAGGGCAACATTAGTCAGTGGCAGTATGTGTGCTCTGAGGACCTTCAATGAAAGAAAACACTTGTTTGTTTGAAACCTAAACCAAATTGAATGCAATTAATTTTAACTTCAAGCCAGTTCCATGCTGACATACAATAAACTGGAGCTGCCAATGTCTGGACAAATCACACCTTCTATTACTAATAACAATAAGACATTTTGTAGTTACTGAGCATTTCTAACCCATCAATTCACCTTTCAGATAAACACTGGATATGAAATAAAAGTAAAAGTCACACTAATTTATAATATGTTTAATGTACTACATATGGTCTTGTACATTTGCAAGCATTGAGAAAATAGGAAATATTAACTAGGTTTCAAATTTTTGAATCCTAAAGTTTCTTAGGAGTCCTGGTGTGGCACTGTGGGTTAATGCGCTGCACTGCAAATTTGGTTGAACCATAACCATAAAGTTGGCAGTTTAAGCTCACCAGCTGCTCCTCAGAAACCCTATACAGAGTCACTATGGGTTGGAACCGACTCGCTGGCACTTAACAACAACAAAGTTTCTTAAAAGTCAGGGCTGTATATAACGCTTTCTTATGTATCTTTCAATACCCACATATCTAACACATAGAAAACAAAGCACAAACACAGTGCCACAGAGTCAGTTTGGTTCACAGCAATCCTACAGCATACAGTAGAATTGCTCCAAGGCTACACAGCATTATAGAAGCAGACTATCACAGCATCCTCCCATAGAGTGCTGGTGGTTTTGAACTTCTGACCTTTCATTTAGCAGCTGAATGCTTTAACCACAGAGCCACCAGGGCTCCTTATGTAGCACATAACCAAAAAACAAACCCACTACTATAGAGTCTGAGACTGTAAATCTCTACAGGAGCACAGAGCCTCATTGCTATCCCTCAAAGTGGCTGGCAGGTTTGGACCTCTGACCTTGTGGCTAGCAGTCCAGTGCTTATCCTACAGCACCACACCAGGGCACATGTTATTAAGTGCCAGTGAGTCAATTCCAACTCACAGTGACTCTGTATAGGATTTTCAAAGAGTGGCTGGTGCATTTGAACCACCAACCTTGTAGTTA